GAAGGGAGGGAGGCTGTAATCGGGTGCGGGGCCACCCCGGCCACCTCCTTACCTTGCAGGAAGTTAAGCTCCGTCAGCAGCTTCATCTCACGCCCTACGTCCAGCTGACAGTGGCGGAAGGAGGAGCTGGCAGCTGGCCGAAATGTCTGGAGGGCCTCCGCAGCTCGGGAGATCCTGGCAGGGGGCAGGCAGGGTCAGGCACCCCCAGCTGGACAGCCGCCCTTCCCCGTGATGCTGCTTTGCCTGTCCCTAGAGCCTGGGCACCTGCTTTGGGTCACCTCCTGGTCCCTCCAGCAAGCTGGCTATCAGTGTGGCCTGGTGATGGTCCTCAGGACCCACGTCTCCACGGGGCAGCGGTGCAGACACCAGCTTAGCCGCCGGCTACACCTGACACCCGGGCCTGGAGCCTGTGCCTACCTGTTGCACAGCTGCTTGGCTGCTTGCACAAAGCAAGGCTGGTCTGTTTCCTTAAGGACCTCCTGGGCGTAGCCCACCAGACCTGAGCCGTCCAGCAGGCTCCGGTGCTCCTGGATCTGGGCGCTGAGACGGGCCAGGCGCTCCTGCTGGCACTCCTCAATGGCCTGGAGCAGGGACACCCGCTTCTCCTCCAGCACAGCCCCCAGTCCCCGCACCAGCTGGGACACCTCCTCCTTGGCCTGCTGTCCGCTCACCTGCCCAGAGAGCAACACTCACTATCTTCTTCACGCAGCACTCGTGCCAGCCTCCCTCGGATCACCAAAGATCCAGGGAAATCCTTCCCAGCCAGGCCGCCAGGGCCAGGCCCACAGCTCCAAAGGCACCTGTCCACCCAGAGGGGCTCAACGCCCGACACTTTGTGCCACCCTTCCTGGAGCCCCACACCACCATCCTGACCCCATAAGGACTCCCCCAAACAAAAGCGAATGTGACTGCACTAACGCCCACTCGAACCACACCGATGTCCCCTGCCTCCGGGCCATCCTTCCTGTCTGTCCCCTTGTCAGCAAATTCAAGCAAACTGGCAGAAGGTACCAGAGACGGAGCCTCGCCCTAGCTCCAAGGATGTATGGTGTCCTAAGTGGCCAGCTGAGCCCGAGGGCATCCGAGCCATGTCCCTGAGGGCTTTCCAAACTGTCCTGGTCCTGGTCGACAGCCACACTGTTCCCATCGTAACCCCGGGGACAGCCTGGTCTGGGGCACTAATGTTCCTGCCAGCCTGGTTTAACCAGAACCTCGACACACCCACGGACTCTGAGCTGCCAGGCAGGGGACTGGGCTGTGCCTCCCCACATGCCTTCCTGCTTCCAGTCGTGGGCGGGGCCCGGAGCCCACGGCCATGCCCTCCCTCACCTCGGTGTGCCTCGCGGCCTCCTCCAGCTCACAGATCTGGGTCTGCACTGTGTCCTGGTTTCCCAGGATGTATGTCACGCTCTTTGTCAGCTTGTCCTGAGGGGGAAGAGAGAGGTGGGCATCGTGCCTCGCTTGGTGGAAGCCAGCAGTCAGGAGGAGGTGGGAGAGGGCGTGAGTGCGGGTTGGTGCACGGTGGAGTGAGGCAGGGTCCTCACCTTGAGGGCCTGGTAGGCGCTGAGAACAGGTGTGATCTTGTGCCCACCGTGGGTACGCCTCACCCGGCAGAGTTGGCACACCAGCCGTTGGCATGTCTTGCAGTAATGGGTCACCTCTTCCTTGTGGTCCGGGCACATCAGGCCCTAGGGACAGAAGGAGCAATGACATCATCAGCAAACGGTGGTTTTAAGGCTGCTGACCTGGGGCAGAAGCAGTGTGCAGCCTGGGCAGCGGGCCTGAGAGGGAAGAAGGGAGGAGGCCTGAGTCCAGCTGGGGTGCTCCGCAGTGCCACCTGGTGGTTCGCGGCGGCATCGACGGGAGCGTCGCTGGCATCCTTGCTCCCTCCCACCTCCACATGTGTGGTAACAGCAAGAGTAATGATTATTAATCTCCACCTTGTGGCTAATAATTAACCTCGTCCACCTTGCTCACTGCCTATTCCCAATGCCGAGAATAGCCCCAGGCACATGGATGCTGGATAAATATTTGCTCAGTGAATGAATGAATGCGGACAGACCTTTTTAGCCTAGGGGTGACTCACAAACCACCTCCTGGGACCCCCCCCAACAACCCCCAGGGCGTGGGTACTGCAGTGCAGGTCTTATCCTCACTCAGCAGACAAGATGGGGCTCCGAGAAGTTTAAAGATTGACCCAGTCCCTTTCTGTCCTTGTTACGGAAAATGGAGCCTGGCAGGGGCCACCTCTGCCCGCCTCCCTTGGGAAGTCCACCGAGCCAGCTCCCCCAGCCACCCAGCACCGCCAGACCCCTCTCCCCGCTGGCTCACCTTGGGGCGGAAGGAGAGGGTGGGCAGGGTGGGCTCGTGCTGGGCCTTCTGGGTGCCCCAGGGGTGGAAGAGCTTGAAACACTCATTGCAGAAGGTGGCCCGGCACTCGGTGCAGCCCTTGGTGGCCTCTAGCGGCGGTGGCTTGCACAGCTGGCACAGGATGGCGCCACCCACACTCACGCTCTGGCGGTAGCGCTCCACCACGCGCTCCAGGGTCAGGTTCCGGAACAGCCCCGCCAGGCCCCGCTCCCCCAGTTCCACATCGCCCTGGCAGGCCGGGCACGGGAACATGACCACCTGGGGGTGCAGAGCCCCTCGCTTCCGCCCAGGATACGTCCCAAAGCCTGTGGCAGGGCCAGAGAGGGAGGGGGCTGAAAGTTACAGCTGGCTGGGGGGAGGGGGAGATCTATTCAATTAAAACAGTAATTTTGTCGTGCCAGAGCTCGGCTCTGGGTCTTCAGAGGCCCCCGACCTGCGCGGATGTCCCAGCATCCCCGCCCGCGGCCCACAGGAGCCAGGCCCACCTGACTTAAGCAGCCGATCCAGGCGGTCTGGCTTGGGGAGAGTACGGCGGGAGAGGCGGGGGCTTCGGGTGGAAGGGGTGGAGGCGGGGGAGGTGGGCTCGGAGCTGGGGTCCCCGCCATGGCCCATGTAGCCTTGCTGGCCCAGCACCTCCCGGGCACAGGCCTGGCACACATTGTGGGTACAGGGCAGCACCAGAGGCTGCTTGTACATCTCTTGACACACTGGGCACAGCAGCTCCTTCTCCATGTTCTTCATGCTCGTCTGTGGAGGGAGCAGGAGGTCGGGTGGGAGCAAGGAACCCCCGGGGGAACACCGCAGCCGGCCTCTCAGGTGCCCTGAGAAACCCAAGGGGTCTCGTGGGGGCAGGGCAAGCTACCTGGGGCTCTTCCCCAGCACCCGCCCGGGGCCTGATTCACAGACCTTCCCGGCTCCGGCTGCTGCCGGTCTCCCTTCCGCGGAGAGCCAGAGCCTCCGAGGGGCGGTCGGGGCTCGCGGCCCGAGCACCTGCCTCCCCTGGCCTCAAGCCCCACCCCTTCCACTCCCGGGGCGGGCGCAGGGCCTGCTGCCCCTCTCACCTGGCCGTTGCTCCCATCCCCCCATCTCCCGGCCACCAGCTTCTCTCAAGGACACCGCCCATTCTGCAGCTTGGTGCAGACCCCCGCCCCCTTTTCTGGCAGCACCCCCTTTCCCGGCGTGACTCCTCCCTACAGCCAGCGCCGCGCGCTCTCCGTCCTCCTGCTCACCGCGTCGGTCATCCTGCCGCGGCTCGGCCGGCGGCGGCCGCTCCAGCCTCCATTCTCCATCCCTCACTTCCCCGGACGTCTCCTCGGGGCCCCAACACGAACCCATTCCCGTTTGCATCCCCCACCGTCCGGCCCTCCCGCTCCTTCACCCGGCACGACCCGACTAGCCAGAATCCCCTCCCCAAGCGAGGGGGAAAAGAGCGCCCGCCTACTTACCCCCTCCCCACCGGAAGTACCCCTCCCTTTTTTGGTGGAGGGGGTCCTCAAGCTATGCCCCACCCCCACACCTCACCTTGGTCCCTCTCTTCGCAGCCATCCCGGTCAGGGGCGCAGCTGACACAAAGGAGGGAGGGACAGGCAGGGAGGGGGAAGGAAGTGGTGGGGGGGAGCAGGGTTGGCACCGCCCCTGGGAGAACCAGGCACGGGTTGCCATGACAACCCCGGGCTCGGAGGCAGCCCCGAGTGGGGGCGCGGTGGGGTGGGGTCTCGCCGTAGGGTCCAAATTTGGAACTGCACCCTGGGGGCGGCTCCTTCATCGCCCCTCACCTATCCTCAGTTTTCTTGGAAAATATCCAAGCTCACGCATGCCCCCTCCTCAGAGCATAGCCCCCTGGCCCTGCAGCCCCAGCCCTGGTGCACTGCTGGCGGCCACCCCAGCCCCCCCGCTGCATCTGGGCAGCTCCCGGTTCCTTGCACCCCAGCAGCTGGACGCCTCCACGGGGCTCACCTCCAGGCTGCCCCGGGATTACCCTCTCCAACCTGCACCCCGAACCCCTCCCCCAGTCCTTTCTGCCATCCCCAGCCCCCTGACTACATCCCAGCATCTTGCCTCATGTTCACCTGTCCGAGGTCCCGGCCTGCCCTGGGCCCCTCTACTCCCCCCCTCTTCCCCTCGACCCCACCTTAACTCACACTGATGCGGACCAGTGCGTCCATGATGGAAGTGAAGGTCTGCATATCCTCACCCTCAGCCATGGCCCTACCATGCCCGCCCGCCCCCGGGTGCCTGATCCGGGCTGCGGCTGCGAACCCCCGGCTTAATGCAGGAGCCCGTGGGGGTGTGCGGAGGGGTGGGGGTGAGATGTCACTGCGCATGCTCCAGGGACAGCCTCGCACAGCGCCCGTCGAGGTAGGAGGTGGGAAATAGTTCTCCCCACGTGGTTTTCGGAAGACGGTGGCGGGGGTGGGGGTGGCGGGGAGGCGGGGGTGGCGGGGAGGCGGGGGGAGCGGGGGGGGGCGGGCGGGTTGGGTAACATGGAACCGTATGGGGGGAGCCATTTCTAATGTTCGCATCCTTCATTGGCTCCCTAGTCTTACTGCGATGAAACGGGAGGATAGTTTCGGAGAAGGATGGGCTCCAGAATGCGAGGACTAGGTTTTGGCTTGGGCAAGAGTCCACGGGAGATGCGAGGCAGGGCTCATGCGGGAGGGACGTGTGAGGAACAGGCACTAGAGATGACACGTACGGCGAAGGAGACAGGGCTGGGCTAGAGGCAACGGGCCGTGGGCCCAGCGGCTTGTGCTGAGGGCAGCAGACGCTCGGGGAGCGGGGAAGGGCAGGGGACCAGGGCGGTGGCCAAGGCCGCTCTCGGACGCAGTGTCTCCTCCCTGCCGGCAGGGGCCGCTGCGGCCAGGCGCCTAGAGGGAGCGCGAGCAGCCCCGGGGGAAGCGAGTCCGCGAGTGGGGCTGACGCGTGCGCACCGCCGACCGCCCCGGTTCGGGTCCCCTGTTTCTTGGCCTGCGGCGCCGACTGAGCCCGGGGCAGCACGCGATGGGTAACGGGACTGGCGGGGTTCCCCGACGGACAAGTGGGTGGGGTGGGGTTGGGGCGGACCGGCTGTCCCGGTCCTCTGCCCGCAGAGCTGACGTGTCCGGGACCCCGGGGGACGGCGGGGAGCGGGCGCCCGGGGGCAGCGGGGGGTCGCGGCGGGGGTCGCGGCGGGGTTGCGCAGCCCCGGGGACGCGGGGGGCCGGCTCGGCCTGCGGCGCTGGCGGGAAGGAGGACCCGGCCCGACCGCGCGGCCCGCGTCCTCGCCTCCCCTGCAGCCGTGGGCACGGGCACCTCGCTGGCGCTGTCCTCCCTCCTGTCGCTGCTGCTCTTCGCCGGGATGCAGATGTACAGCCGGCAGCTGGCGTCCACCGAGTGGCTCACCATCCAGGGGGGCCTGCTGGGCTCAGGCCTGTTCGTCTTCTCGCTCACCGTATCCTTCCTGCGCTGCGGGGGTGGGGGGGGCGGGGGGGCGGGGGGCGCGGCCCGTCGCTCGGCCTGCCCTTAACTCCCTCGACCAGGCCTTCAATAATCTGGAGAATCTGGTTTTTGGCAAAGGATTCCAAGCAAAGATCTTCCCTGAGAGTAAGTGAAGATGGGGGTCGGGCGCTTCAGCCTTCCGCCCTAGCCGCTCCCAGCACGGTCCGGAGTGGTCAAGTGCCCGGTCGGTCGGTGAAGGTGGCTCAGAAGGGAACAGGCTTCTTAAGACCGCGCGGAGGCGGCGCCGGCCTCGGATGCACCTCCCGGAGCTCTGAGGCTTTGGAGCCGGAAGCCTAGTTCCCAGGGGGCTCTGAGGAGACCTGGCCCTGCAGGCTGGCTTTGCCCAGTCCTTGGGAGGTGTGGGGAGGAAACAGGACTGAGTTCATTGAGGGATTCTGATGTGAGGTTGAGCCAGTGTTAGTGGGTTCTATTTTTCTGAGAGGATCGTGAAGGGCTTCAGTACTAGATTTTTTAGAAGATTTTATTTATTTATGGGGCACCTGGCGGGCTCAGTGTTAAGTGGCTGCCTTCGTCTCAGGTCATGATCCCAGGGTTCTGGGTTGGAGTTCCACATCAGGCTCTCTGCTCATGGGGAAGCCTGCTTCTCCCTCTCCCTCTGCCACTCCCCTTGCTTGTATTTCCTCTCTTGATGTGTCTCTCTCTGTCAAATAAATAAATTTTTTTTTCTTTTTTTAAAGAGAGATCACAAGTAGGCAGAGAGGCAGGCAGAGAGAGAGAGGGAAGCAGACTCCCCGTTCAGCAGAGAGCCTGATGTGGGGCTCGACCCCAGGACCCCGAGATCATGACCCGAGCTGAAGGCAGAGGCTCAACCCACTGAGCCACCCAGGCGCCCCCAAATAAATAAATTTTTTAAAGAAAGATTTTATTTGTTCATTAGAGCAGAAGCAGGGGAGAAGGGTAGAGGGAGAAGCAGGGATGCAGGGCTCGATCCCAGGACCCCAGGATCCTGACCTGAGCTGAAGGCAGACACCCACCTGAGCCCCCCAGGCACCTGGGCTTCAGCATTGGAGACACCGGATTTCTATGTCAGCGGGAACCCTTACCAAGTTAGAATAAATGTTAGGTTCTTTTCTCTTTGACACGATGCTCGTTGTTGCTCATGTAATGGAGAATAGATGATTTAGTTATTTATGCAGAATTAAGTTCATAAAGCAGCTGAGGCATCAAGGCCGGCTCGCTCAAGGAATGTCACAAGCTTACAGAGGGCAGCGAACGCTGCCTCGTGAGGAGCCTTCATCGGGTAGAACATAGGCCTGCCCTGCCCTCGTGGCCCTCGTGGCCCTCGTGGCCCTCGTGTCTTTGCACTCCTGGCTCCTGTAGGTCTGTAGGTCTGCACCCTCCACCTAGCTCTGGGGCAGCTTTCCAGAGCTCCTCGCAGCCGGCAGCCTCCAGACCTCTGAGATTTTGTTTCCCCATGTGTTGTCTTCTTGTGCTACGGAAAGAAACCTTTGTTGTGGGGCCAGGTTCTTGACCCCCTTCACCCTCCCCAGCTGGGCAGGTGGTGTCTGCCCTGCCGACCGCCTCCCACTTTCTCTCCCGTCCTCCGCAGGATACCCGGAGACCCTTTCCTGCCTCCGTGGCGTGAGCGTGCAGACACCCAGCCCTCCGGCCTGCATCCAGGGAGCGAGGCCCTCAGCTTCCGCCCCTGGCCAGCCAGTTTCACGAGTTGGTCCTTAGTGGCTGGTTTTTGTCGGAAAGGCCTTGCCTCCCCTTCCCAAATGGGAGCAAACCTTGCCTTTCAGACTCTGTATCACTATCTTTTTCCTTTATGTTGGAAGAGAGCCAGGATAGGGAGGTGATATTTGGGACAGAGCTGGTAGCGAGCACATGTCCCCCCCCCCCCCCCCCCCCCCCCCCCCCCCCCCCCCCCCCCCCCCCCCCCCCCCCCCGCTCCATGTCCTGACCATCGTTCAGGGCATCTGCAGTCCTCCTGCTGATGTCGTGCCACATTCCCCGACACAGGTTCCCCCAGCTTCAGAGGCCCCCGATGTCCCCTAGCCTCCACATGTGAGTGCCTGTTGTTTCCACTTTTGACCCCCATCCCCTTGTCCCCTCTTGCTTTCCCAGCTCTTCTCTGCCTCCTGCTGGCTCTCCTTGCATCTGGCCTCATTCACCGAGTCTGCGTCACCACCTGGTAAGGGCCTCACAGCTGGGGAAGGGGTTTCCTCAGCCCTAGCCGGCTGCCTCCCCAGCCGCTGCCGCCGTGTGCCGAGAGGGTGCCGGGCTGGCGTGTGCCGGTGCCGTGACCTTTCTGTCTTCACGGTGTAGCTTCATCTTCTCCATGGTCGGCCTGTACTACATCAACAAGATCTCCTCCACCCTGTACCAGGCAGCAGCTCCTGTCCTCACCCCAGCCAGGGTCACGGGGAAGGGCAAGAAGAGAAATTGACCCTGAATGTCTAATAAAGTTGATCTTTGTAGTCCCGGGAGTTGTGAGGTGCTATCTTGTGCCCAGGCCTGCAGGGGTGTGCGGAAGGTTGTGGCAGTCGGATACCTGCTGGTTTCAGACCTCGGGGATGGGGGGCTTGCCTTCTTCCTAGATTCATTTCTAGTAAATGTTTATGGACGGCTATCCGTGCCATGAGTGTGAAAGTCTCAAGGTGGAAGAAAAGCGCGTGGGTGACCTGCCGTCTTGACCTTTCAGAAAAGGGGTCAAGGCTGTAGTGCAGGAAGCCTGCCTTTACCATCAGAGGGGAGTAGATCCTGGAGCAGAAGAACTGTCACCCCTGCAGCTCCCCCCGGGAGTTCCTTTACACCTCTGGGGCCTTGTTACTCTGACTTCCCACCCGGAGCAAACAAGCCTCCTGCCCCTTCTGCTCCAAGGCCTTGTGGGGGGTGGGGGAGTGCCCACTGATGTTGCCCTCCTGGACCCATCCGTTCACCTCCAGCACAGACAGATGGTTGTGTTTTGAAAGACTCCAAGGTTGATCACTGCCCCATCTTTGTTCAGGTGCCTCCGTTTCTCTTCTCTGTCTTGTAGCCAAGAGATCAGGGACTTGCTACACTTTAGCAAAGTGTATAAAATGATAGGGACCAAGCCATCGGCCTTGGAGCCAACCATGATGGGAATAAGGATGTGGCTTCTCAGATCCAGCTCTGTGCTCTGCCCTGAGGGGTGCCTCTCAGTCCAGAGTGCCTGTCCTCTGAGGCCACGGCGCAGCGCCTCCCCTGCTGGATGACATGGGCTTCAGCGTCCACAGCTTCGTGTCCTGCGCAGTGCTTGGTCGTGGGTAGTGAAGACGTGGGTTGGTTGGCAGAAGCTGCCCTTCCGGCAAGAAAACATTGTAAATGAGATGTGTCTGAGTAGGGATGGAGTCCCAATGGAGGCGAAGAAGTGAATGGAGGGGGTCCTGGTCAAGGATTAGAGCCCCGCCCTCTAATGAGAGGTCACCCCACCGTTGCCATGCTCCTCAGTCTCTGGGTTGGGGGAGTGGCATGCAGTGTGCCCAGGGTCCCTGCAGAGGGCGCCATGAGCTCGCACCTGCCAGTCAAGCCTGCCCCGAGGGCAGGGGAAGGTTGCGGCTGGGTCTCAGGGTTCCGGCCCAAGTCTGTCCAGCCTCCCAGGCAGGCCCTGAAGCACTGGCGTCTTGGAGGCTGGAGTCTGATGGCCATCAGACTGATGGCCCCTGAAGCACGTGTCCCTGGGAGCAGAGGCAAAGAGCATTCAAGGGCCAGCAGAGCCTCCATGCAAGGGAATGGCAGCTCTAGGCTCTTAACTGACCTAGTGATGGTTAGGGGGCTGTGGTATGTGGCACCTTCTTGGGGAGGATGACGGGTTGTCAAAAACAGACCCTGGATCTAAGGGGAAGCTGAGTTGGTTCTAGGGCGCCCTCTGTCAAACCCTGACGTCCTCCTAACGGACGGGCAGAGGGCTAGATCTCAGCCAAGGGAACATAGACATGGGGGGCAGGGATCTGGCCACCTGAGGGCACCCTGACTCCAAGATGAGAGTTTGGGTATAGGGCCAGACTCAGGAAGGGTGGGGAAGAGTCAGAGAGCAGGGCCGGGAACATGCCAAGCGATTGGGGCACCTGCTGCCACCCACTGTGTAGGCACCAGGGCCAACAAGTGGCTCAGGGATAATGATCCCCTTCAGCGAACAGGTGTATTTACAAGGCCGATTGGGGACAGCCTCAGCCCTCCACCCAGCCTATCTTGGGGCTCCTAGTTGTAGGTTACAGGCTTAACCTGCCAATTAACCCTGACAGGGGTATCCTACCCACTAATAAGCATCATTAAGTAAGGGGGCGTGAGGTCGTCATGGCTTCTGGAGGCCTGAAGGTGGGAAGGGCAAAGGCGCTAACCACTTGGCCCCTGCTCTCCTGGGCTCCACTCCACCCTGGCAGCTGGAGGCCCTGGGGACAGGGAGGCAGCGGGCCCCTGGAGGACAGGGGGAAGCCAGATGCTTCCTCCTGCTCCCTCACACGTGGCCCTGACACCCGCCTGCCCGCCAGCACCGCCACCAGCTCCGGAAACAGGAGTAAATAATACAGGGGGACGGGGCCTTGGGTGTGTGAGGAGCCCGGCAGAGGAGGCCACTCCAGCTGCTCCTGGCCCGGAGGCACAGGTCTGGGGGCCGGAGGTGGTGCCACCAGAGAGAAGGGCAGTGGGAAGGGGAGGTAAGAGAGCTCCCTAATCCCTGGCAGAGGCTGGACCCCTTCTGGACTGGCACTGGAGGGATGGGACACCGCAGGGTTGGACGGGGGGTGGGGGTGCCCAGGACAGGCGGGGAGCGACAGAGTCTGCGCCAGGCCTTGGCTCCAGCCCTTTCCGGCCCTTATTGTCCTTGGTGAGAACAGGACACAGTCTGGTTCCCACTGCCCGGCCCCCAAGCTCTGCTCCCCAGGGGCTTGGGAAGGATGTTGGGAAACAAGAGAAGGCCAGAGACTAATAGAGACAGAGATGCTGAGAGACGCAGAGACAGATACAAAGGGGAAAGGTTCAGTCAAAAGCCAGCACTGAAGTTCTTTGTGAGCTGAGAAGGCCTGGGCACTGTGGGAACCACAGAAGAATGGGAAGCCAGTGGGAGGCCTGCCCCGACACTCCTTCTTGACTTAGGGTCGGTCACAGAGCCGCCTCTTAGGTGGACAATGGCCGGAACCCTGGTACAGACGCCGGTGGTGGCACTTAACTGTTCGGCTTCAGGTAGCTTTCTTCGCCTCTCCCAACGAGTGGAAGCTCCTCAGGGGCAGGCCAGGATCCTGCTCCCTAACCTTGCCTCCCCAGGCCCCTGGGGCTGCGAGCAAGCTGGCCACACAGAGCTTGTGCAGAATATTTGCTCCAGTTCCTAGAGAGACAGGGAGGGAGGCCCCTGGTGGCCCTGGAGGGAGGCCCTGACATCACCCGCAGTGACAGCCGGAGGCTGGCAGGAAGCGCCCCAGGCCCTCCCCCAGCCCCTCTCCCCTGCCCCCTCCCCTCAGCCCCCTCTGCCCTGTCCCTCCCCCCAGCCTTTGCAACCCAGCGCTTGGGGTGGGGTGGGCGCCCTTCCCTCCAAAGAGTCTCTTCTACCCGGGCGACACAGCTGCCCCTGCACACGGTCCTGGCGTCTGGTGAGGCTCCAGGTAAGCCTCAGGATGAACAATGGAAACGTGTTTGAAGTGTTCATGTTTAACGACCAAATGCTTCTACTTTTTTTTAACTTTTAGTTTTCTGTTTATTTTTTTAAAATTTTATTCATTTGTCAGAGAGGGAGAGAGCGAGAGTGTGAGCCCGAGCAGGTGCAGGGGGAGCGGCGGCCAAGGGAGAGGCCGGCTCCCCGCCCAGCAGGGAGCTTGTGCGGACTGGATTCTGGGACCCTGGAATCATGACCTGAGCTAAAGGCAGACCCTTCACCGACTGAGCCACCCAGACGTCCCAAATGAACACTTTCTGACACAAAATTACAATATCATACAATCATGCTAGTAACAAGATTATTACAGGATTTTTAGGAAGTTTTCCTTCACGGGGAGCTGCAAGCCCTCTTTTTACAATATAAGGTCCTGTGATCATGGGCATCTCAGGTTCATGTGATTCTGTCTGTATGTATTTGGAGATCCCGAAACAGCAGGTCGGGTCCCTCGTATGGGGGCTCCTTCTGTCCCGTCAGAGGGCTGTGGTGTGCTGGGTGCAGAGAGAACAGGCCTCAGACCAATGGCCTCGGGTGTGAGGAGCTCTTCTCTGAAAACAGCCCTGCCCTCAGGCTGGAAGAGCAGGGGGCCCTGCCCATTTTAGGGTGAACCTGCACCGCAGGAGTAGGGGGGGCAGGAACACCCCTGCCCCTCTACTGGGCTTTGCTGGGCCCCCGGGGCTGCTGGGGCTGACCTCAGGGTGCTTCGCCGGGGTCGTTTGTAGGACAGAGGCGCTCGCTGGTGTGTGAGGGTCTAGGGGGAGCCTACCCCGGGCCCCTCCTCTTCCTGCCTCAGCCTCCAGCCCCCACTTCCAGCCTCTGTAGAGAGTTCCAGGTTCCAGACAGGACTCCGGACGGTGGGACTTGGGGCTTGAACTCGGGAGGACCTGCCTTCTGGTTTTGTCTTTGAACGCTTAGCCGGTGGAGGTTCTACGGCAAGCTGGGTGAGCCCAGACTGGACCCCCCAGAGCGAGTTCCGTTCCCTCACTGCCGTGTGGATGGTGAGCACTGGCGGCAGAGAGTCAGGCCTGGGAGGAGGGGCTGAGCGGTGCCGGGCATGGGACAAGCGTTCCCACGAGGACGTGCCCCTGCCCCCCAGCAGCGGATGGCCTTCAGACTTAACCCCCCGCCCTGGTGCTGCCCCGGGTCTCCAGTCTGCAGGGTGCCTGGGGGCGTCCGTGCTCACCCCTGCGGCCTGGCCCTCTGCCCCCTGCTCCCCACCAAGGTCAGGAGGAAGTCAAGGGTTTTTGTTTTTGTTTTTAAAGATTGTCTTTATCTATTTGAGAGAGGGAGAGAGAGAGAGTCTGGAGCAGACTCAGCCCTGAGCATGGAGCCCAACGAGGGTCTTGATCCCATGACCCTGAGATCATGGTCTGAGCCAAAACCAAGAGCCAGAGCCTCCACCGACTGAGCCCCCCTGCACCCTGGAAGTCAAGTTTTGACAGAGTGAGACCCTGTGGGCTTTGGATTTACCAGTCACTGCAATTGCGTGAGCCGGTTCCTTAAAATAAATTTCTTTCTGCATAACATGTCCATCCCATGAGCTCTGTTTCCCTAGGGAACCCTGACGGATATACCATTTTCGTGAAATAACATGCGGGAAGGTGAAGGAGAAGTTAAGATAAGCTGCTCAAGATTATAATGAAGGCGTGTCTGGCTGGCTCAATTAGGAGACTGTGTGACCCTTGATCTTGGGGTTGTGGGTTCAAGCCCCACATTGGGTGTAAAGATTATCTGAAAGTTAAAAAAAAAAAAAAAAGAAAGAAAGAAAAAACAATTTGGTACGTGAAGGAAGGGCTGCGGTTGAACTTCAGACCCTCAAGTTTCTTGAGCCAGTGTGGGTGCTGGCTCGGCCCAGCCCCTGGCCCCGGCTCCCCCCACGTCCTATGCTCACCCATCCCAGCTTGGCCTCTGCCGCTCCCGGTGCCTGGGCCGCGCTGTGTGCACGGCACCCTCCATCCCCCCTCTGCCCCTTACCTGGCTCTCCTTCCCCTCCTAACACCACTCATTACTTGGCACGTTAAATACCGATCTGTCTGTCTGTCTGCCACCACTTACTTCACCGAAGCAGGAAACGTCGGTTTTCACCGAATGCCTCACTGAAAGCCGGTGCTTTGTCTGGTCCCTTCCCTGGAACACGGCTCCAGGGAGGACAGGTGATTGGCACGTGTTAAATAGACTCAGGGTTCTTCGAGCAGCACAGCACGGTCAGGCCACATTGTGAGCTCTTCACGGGAACTCACCTTCCCCCTGCATCAGTTCCAAATGGGCCCAAAGACTAGAATCAGCCAGTCTGTCTCTGTGCGGCCAGGCCTATGACAGGGGCCTTCCTCCCTCAGGCTAGCATCTCCTCCAGCTCACCTCTGGGAAGCCCTGACTCACCCAGCCCCTCTGCCCCACCCAAGCAGCAGTGCCATCTCTGATCTCCCCTGGCCCCTCCAGCCTGGCTATAATGCGGGGAGTGTCCCTGTTAATTACACGTGTGTCTGTCCTGTTGCCTCTGTGGAGCTATGGGAGCCCTTGGGACAGGGTTGGAGGCCATGCAGCCTGACTAACTGGGGCCTCCCCCAAGGACTCAGTAATCAGCTTGGCCCCTGTGGGTGCCCAGAACGCTCAACCACCTCCCATCAGACACTCAGGCACACATGGGGGTCACGCACTCTTCTAGGGCTGAAGGCGCCCGACCTCAGGGACCAACACCCCGCCCCACAACACACATCCTTTCAAGGGGCCTCTAGCAGCCCACCCCAGTCTGCCTTTCCAGCCCCATCTCCTGCCACTCCCCCTCGAAGCAGTCTTCGTCCAAGAGACAGCCACAGAGAATTACACCCCGAATCTGGGCTTTGTTCAGGGTTCTCTGGGCCATGCGTGCCCTCCCCACATGAACAACTCTCACTCATCTTTCCAGTATCAGCCGGGGCTTCTGGGCCTCTGGAAGTCAGCCCTCCTCTGCATGGGTCTCATTTTGCATAGCTCCCCCCCAGTAGACTGTGGAATAAGGGCTCCCAGATTTGGAGCATGTCTTTCTCTTACCAAAGCTAACAAAAGCCGAAAACCCACACAAACCAGCTGAGCGATCCACAGGAGTAACTTACCTCTGAAGATGGAAGGGAGTCTGGGAGGGGCGCCCTCGGCCCTGAAAGGGGACCAGCTCCCAATGCAGACTTCCCGCGTGCGCACACTGTCGCCAGCATCCTACCGACATCAGCTCCTTTCCTCTCCAGGGCAAGCCCAGGAGGGAGGACCAACTATCGGCTCTACTATTTAGGCGGAAAAACTGAGGCTCCGGTTCATACGGCTAAAGAAAAGAAAGAGCAGAGACCCAGCCTCAGGACAACCAGACTCTAAACCCCACAAGCCCCAAAATATATACATGTATGTATTTTGTTTTAAGAGGCTCCATGCCCAACATGGAGCCCGATTTGGGGCTTCAACTCATGACACTGCGATCAGGAACTGAGTTGAGATCAAGCGTCAGAGCTTAACCAACTGGGCCCCCCAGGCACCCCTAAAAGCCCAGACTTTTATCTACTGAGCCATAGTGCCTCTCATACGCTACTATAATCACGTGTAGCATGTCCTACGGCTCCAGAAGAGGGATGGTCTGCAAAAAGACTGAAGGGGAAGGAGTTGGACGGTAAGAGTCTGCCGGCTTCTGCTGGGCACTATCCATGGCCAAGGACGCTGTGTGCAACAGGTGGGAGTCTCTGGAGTGGTTCTAGTTCCCGGGACCAGGAGAGCTGGGCCGGTCTCCCTGGAGACCATGAGATGGGAACCTGTCCTTCCCCCTGTCCCTTCGGCTTTACTTTTAGAGAAGCGTTGTTAGGTTTCTCACACTGTGCTGGGTCCTGGAGCCACACTGTCCCTGGGCGAGCCGCGCAGGGAAGAAAAACTGATCACGCTTAGTGCGAGCTGTGGAAAGAGCCCGGGTGCTCCGAGGAGGAAGATGGTGGCCAACCCTGCAACCTTGAAGGACATGAAGCTTGAGTGGAACACAGAGAAATAGGGACCCACATTTTCTTTTTTTTTTTAATTTTTAAAAAGATTTTATTTATTTATTTGACAGACAGAGATCGCAAGTAGGCAGAGAGGCAGGCAGAGAGAGAGGAAGGGAAGCAAGCTATGTGGGGCTCAATCCCAGGACCCTGAGATCATGACCTGAGTGGAAGGCAGAGGCTTAACCCACTGAGCCACCCAGGAGCCCCATTAACTTTCTTTTTCAAATGGTAAGCTAGTTGCAAATGGTTTTTAAATCCTTAGTCTTCCCTTACTTGCTAGAGCTGCCATCTCTATTATATGCAAATTGGTACATTTTCAAAAATCTATTTCTTCACTTTTTATTGTGATGCACTGATCTAGGGAGAGAAGCGCTATACAGGGGTGGCAGAGTCGGCAAGCTCAGAGGTCACATTATGTGGGGTTTGTGTCATGGTCTCATTTGTGACATGGAGATACAGTCCCCACTCCATATGGGCCTGTAGAAAACTGAATGAGACAATGCACGACAGCACTCAGTCAGTGAATGTCAGTTGCAGTGATGACCCCTCTCTTCCCCCTCCTGGACCAGGAACCAGGAGGTTGAAACCACTAAGCACCGAGCCTCGAGAAGGATGGCATGGTTCTTCTACTCACTATCTGCCGGACCTTGGGCAAGTTACCATTCACCATCTGTCTGTTTCAGCTTCTTCATTTATATATGGTCATAGAAAGGATCTACTGCAACATTCTGTGAAAATTAAACACGACAATGTCCCATAGGGCACAGCATATCATAGCCCTTCAATGAATGTTTATTTTTCTGCTGATTATTATTATAATGCTGTAATTTATTATCTGTCTTTATGTGTTGTAGGGCAAACTCCTCCTCATTATCTTTCCCAAAAAACTGTTCTTGGGAGTGGCAGTCTTTCTGGGCAGGTCTACTGGGGATGGACAAACAGAATTTCTGGATCTACAGAGTTGACAGCTCACCGCTGAACGGCTCTGGAAGGGATTATGACCAGGGAGGTCTTGAGTGAACAACGAGGAGCATTTCAGATGGAAAGGGAAGTGGGTGGAGGGGGGCTTTGAAGTTCATATAGAAAAAAAAATTTTTTTTTTAAATTTTATTTACTTTTTTGACAGAGAAAGCGCACAAACAAGGGGAGCTGCAGACAGAGGGAGAGGTGAGGAGAGGGACTCCAAGGTGGCGCTCGATCCCAGCACCCTGAGATCATGACCTGAGCAGAAGGCAGACCCTTAGCAGATGCTCAACCCACTGAGACACCCTGGTGCCCCTCTTATAACAAAAAAAATTTTTTAATCTGAAAGGGTTTTTTTTAAGATTTTATTTATTTGACAGAGAGAGATCATAAGTAGGCAGAGAGGCAGGCAGAGAGAGAGCGGGAAGCAGGCTGCCCGCTGAGCAGAGAGCCCAACGCGGGGCTCGATTCCAGGACCCTGAGATCATGACCTGAGCCACCCAGGAGCCCCTCTTATAGCAAATTTTTAGAAAGGTTTTTGTCTTTTTGCTTTAACAACAGAATCTGCATAGTGTAAAAAGCAAACTCGTTTTCCAAAGGCACTTAATGAAACCCCCACCCCCCGCCCCGTTCTCCAGTTCTCCTGAGCACTGCTCCGTAAGCCCCGCCCGGGGTTCTTGGCGGCCTCCCTGGGGTACACATCATATTTCTTAGTCAAGTGCTCATACATTTATTTCCTCTCTTCCATTTTAGACATAACTGACCGCCTGCCATGGAAGGTGAGGTTATGGGTCTCTCTACCCATGACCCCCTCATACCTTCCCCTCCCCCACCCACTCAATTCAAATACATCCCCGAGTTTCCTCCCCTCCATGCTCGGCGCTTGCATTATCAGGGCCGGGAACGCAGTCCTCCAGCGGAGCTACCCCGCCCCTACCGAGACTGCGCCTCCGTACAAACGGCTTTTGTCAGTTAACATCAGGTGCGGGCGGCTGAGAGGTGCGGGTCTCCGAAATCTGGAGCCCCCAGGGCGGCCAGCTCTGAGCGGCGGGTCGCTGGGCCGGGGGCGGCCTCCGTCTCCTCCCTCCGCGCAAAGCTTCAAGTGGGGGCGTCTGGACGCGACGCTCTGTGTTTATCTTAATTACGTAGTTATCTATTACATAATTCTCTAAATTAATTACCTTAATTTCGTAGTTACCAGGTGGGCCCTCGGCCCCGGCTCGGCCCAGGCTTGCGGATGCCGTCGCCGAACTCACGCTCGGCTTGAACCCGCCTTTAACTCTGCGCTGAGCTCGGTCCTTCCCCACACCCCGTTCTGGCCGGTTCCCGGGTCTGCTGAGCGGCCCGCGCCCCCCGGGTGTGCTCCGGTCAGCCGCAGGGGTCCTCCGTGGGCAGCTGTCGTCCGTGCCCTTCCCCTGAGGCCCAGCGTCGCCGGGCCCTGCCCGCGCGCCCGCCGCGAACCCACCCCGAACACCGCTGGGTCCACACCCGCGACTCCGCAGGTGGCCCCCGGCCCCAGCGCGTCTTTCCTGGGAGCTCCCCCACCCCCGGCTGCGGGCGGCACCGCGGCTCCCCGCGTCTCTTCACAAGTGCGACGACCCCGTCCTAACAGCGCTCTCGAGGCGCCGCGGTCAGTGGTCCAGGCCTCTGCTCCGGGCCGGGGGCGCGCGCGGCTCCGTTTCTCCGAGGTCCAGCCCGGTGACCACGGAACGTCCCCCGAAGGGAAGAAGACGTGCACCGGATTACATGCCCATCTCCTTGCAGAGTTTGAGGCTGTCCTCGGCAGGACGCCAGCCAGCGGGAGGCGGAGCCCCGAGGGGCAGAAGCGCCACCGGAGCCCCCGGGCCCTCGGGCCGCAATCGGCCGCTCGCCCAACGCAGCGGCCACTCACGCGGCGGCCGCCCCTCCCCCAGGAACCACCGCACGGACTACAGCTCCCAGAAGGCCGCGCGCAGGCGGCGCGAGAGCCGCCTCCGCGCGGACTACAACTCCCAGAAGGCCGCGCGAGCCGAGAGGACTTCCGGACGCTGATGTCGGAGCCGCGCCGGGCTGGCAGGATCGCGGCGGAGGTGAGTGCGGGTTGAGGCCCGAAAGCGGGGCGCGAGCTGGGCGCGAGCAGCAGCGGAGCGGTCCTGGGGTCAGCTGTTACGGAGGGTGGGTGAAGGGGACAGAGAACTGATCTCAGGCAGAGAGGGGGTGGCGGGGCGGAAGGGACCGCGAGCCCCGCTTTCTCTCCCCGCAGTGCCCATGACGAAGTTAGCGCAGTGGCTTTGGGGACTGGCGCTCCTGGGCTCCACCTGGGCGGCTCTGACCACGGGAGCCCTGGGCCTGGAGCTGCCCTCGTCATGCCGGGAGGTGCTGTGGCCGCTGCCGGCCTACTTGCTGGTGTCCGCCGGCTGCTACGCCCTGGGCACTGTGGGCTACCGCGTGGCCACTTTCCATGACTGTGAGGACGCCGCTCGCGAGCTGCAGAGCCAGATCCAGGAAGCTCGGGCCGACTTGGCGCGCAGGGGCTTGCGCTTCTGACATCCCGGCCTTGTTCCCCCGCAGCCTCTCTCCCGCCTCCCATTAAAGAGCTTATTTTCTAACTCCGTCTCGTTTATGGGGAGCGGGAGCTGGGGATTCCGTGTCCCAGCCGTGGGGGAGGGGGCGCCTTCCTGGGGTCACCTCCGCTTTTATCTAAGCATCCTTGTCTGTGTCCCGCTTCCTTCCTTGTTCCGAAGGAGGCAAAGGCCCCGACTCAAGATCTCTCGAGAGGGAACTGTCATCTCACTTTCTTGGTCCTTTTGACCCCGACAGGAAGGACTTCTGGAAGTCCTAATTCTGTTCATTATGCCCAGGCTCCAATCTCTGAAGGCCTTCCTAGGGCTCTTCGCCGTCCTGGTTCCTTCAGATTCGTCTTCTGAGCCGACCCCAGCCCGTGGAACAACTGTGGATCGGGCAGTGCACCTTCTGCCCGTCACCAGAGCAGACAGGTTGAGAATCACCAAACAGAGACTACGCTTTGATGGGCAGGGGTGGGAATGATTTATTTTAAGGCACATTCTAAGGATTTCACCTCAAGGTCCACAATTTAAAAATATAATCTATAAAAAATAAGTGATTCATCTCCCAAGTCCCAGCCAATCTTCCAAGCAAAACACTTTCTTTGGTCCCTCGGTTCTCAGAGCCGTCTTTTTCCTTTCCACAACCCGCTGTGCTCATGGAGCCAGTCAGCAGAAACAGCTGCAACAAGGAGCTCTCTTTGGTAGCAGGTTGGCCTTAAGGTGCCCAGGGGTTGGGTGAACTCCCTCAGGTCTGCAGGAGCGGGTGGCTCCTGTCCTGCTCCCGGGAATACTTCCAGAAAAGCCAGAGGCGAATGACGCTGGTGAGGACCCCTGGTAGGTTGGGCACCTGAAGTCACAAGGGCTGCTGTGAGGAGAGGGGCTGATTCTCCACGGTGCACACCTGTCACCCGTCCCGCTCTGCTCAGCTTACCATGATGTAGGGATCGCCTAGTCGAAACCCATAGAGGGTCCAGGAGGCGGAGGTGAGGAGGGTAGCAATGGTGAGTGGGAAGGAGAGACGCTGGGTTGATCTTGTCTGAATGATCTTGGCCTGCGGAATGAGGTTGGAAGACCCCTATTCCAGACACACCGTAGAGCTCCCACTTGTCTACGAATTTCCTCAGTAAAAGGGTCAAACTCCTCTCTGATCTTCTGCTACCTAGCCTTTCCCTCTTGCCTCCCACTCACCTACCACTACTGCCCTGTCTTCCAGGATCTTCCCTCCTTCGGAGGGTAAGCTACAGCCTCTGGCTAAGGGACCCTGACCGTCCTCATTGCCCCCACTTCCCTGGACAGCGCCCACTCACCAAGTCAGCCAGTGGTGAGAGGTACATGCTGATGGTGAAGACGCTGCAGAAAAGGCCGAGCTGCTGGAGCCGGGCCTCCAGGTTGGGCACCAGGAGCCCAAAGTATCCAAAACCCAGGAGAAGGACCCCCAGCAGGGTCGCAGTCTGGAGGAGCACCGGACGCTGCAGGGGAGAGAGTAGCCTTCCTTCTAGATGTTTCCAGCAGCCCTCTTGGACCCACTGACCTTGGGCTAAGCCTCTTTCCCACCAGTGACAAACACATGTCCCATCCCCCACAGCACTAGCGGCTTCTAGGAGAGAAGGGGTTTGTTTCTGTTTTCCGTGTGAATTTGGTACACACAGTAGTAACTTAATAAATGCTGGTATGATTGGGGAAGCATAGCTAATCAGCTCATTTCTCAGCCACTGGCCCTGACTGAAGGAACTATCAGAGACATGCCCAGTCCCTCAGCTAGCTGGGCGGCAAGGCACCATCAGGCCGGGCAGAGCTACCAGCCTGCCAGAAACGCGGGGCGCGGTGCTCTGTGAGTGTCAGACGGCGGCTCCACGGAGGAAGGAGGACTGCGAGGCTGCAGGGCCTTCCAGGAAAAGGTGGCAGTGCCGGCCTCTCCTACCATTCTGGGAAGCCCGGCAGGGCGCGCGGCAGAGAGGCGGGTCCGCGGGAGGGCTCTACCTTCCGAGGGCAGTAGTGCAGGTACACCAAGATATACGCGGTCTGAAGCACGGCGCCCGTGGCGTTGACGAAGATTAGGGTTCCGTCACCCTTCAAGGCCCCGTAACTCATCCAGCTCAGGTTGCTGCAGGGTGGACAGGAGGGTCGTTCGCCACGGGGATGAGGATGGGAGGGGGACCCCAAGGGGCCTCTTCAGCGTTCCTCCCCACTCCCAACCTTTCCCGCCGCAAACGTCGCCCGTCTCACTTGATGTCGGTGGTGAGAAAGGGCAGGAACTGGACACTGTCCACGCTCCGGGTCGTCCGCATTTGCCTGAGGTCCGAGCTGTAACGGGCCCCGAAAGCAGAGGTGAGAGATGGGAAGGGAGAACCAAGCTGCTGGGGAGTCGAGATCCCCGATGCCTGTGGTCGTCCTCGGACAACTGCAGGTCCCGCCCCCGCCCGCAGCTCTCTGGCTTCTCTCTCAAGTGCCCAGCCTCGCCCATGTGCCCTGGATCCCTCGACCCGAAGCCACTTTGACCCAGGTTTCCGATGCAGCCCGGAGCTGCGGCCACCTCTCTGTCCCCGCTCTCCCTTCCTGACTTCCAGTCCTGCCCAGCCTCGCCCGGCCGCGCTCTCACAGGCCGGTGGAGTACATGGCGAGGGTGAAGAGCACGCAGGCTCCGGAGAGGAGCGAGTCGGCCGCGCCGCCCGCCTCCATCTCCCCCTGCGTCGGATCCTGGGCCCCGCGGCCGCGTCCGCTTACTGGGCCGGAGCCCGCGCCGCCGGAGGGGCCCCGCCCCTGCGTCGGGGCCCCTCCCCCCGCGCGCCGCCGTCCGCCGGAAATGGGCCCTCAGCCCCGCCCACAGGACGTCCCGCCGGAACCAGGCCCCGCCCCCGCCGCCAGGCCCCGCCCCTGGGGTCCGCGCCCTAGAGAGGACGGGCACCCGCCGCCCCTCGCTCTCCGCTCACCCCGACTCACCCGGACCCCATCCTCAAGTCTCTGGCGCGTGAGCCGTCGTGGCCGACCTCAGTTGCCGGACCTGTCCCGCCCGGAGCCCGGATGGCAACCTCACCTGCCCGGGCTCTCCCCTGGTTTGTCGAAGCCTCTTCCCAGCGTCTCCCCTAAATAAGGGGGCTTGCTGGGAATCACAGTCTGTCAGGCCCTCTGCCTTCCGCACACTGCCAACTTCGGGTGACTGGGCCGGTGGGCTGGAGCGCTGCCGCTGACCCCGCAGTCCAGCCGGCAGGACCCGCTGCTGACAGCTCCCCCTGCAGCCGCCCACGGCCCACTCGCGCCGGTTGCTGCAGCTGCGGGACGAGGCGGCCGGCCGTGCCTCAGCCGGCGCTCCCCTGGCGCATTCAACAGCAGGAGCCCCTAACAGTTTGCCAAAGCCCAGCGCTGCCGGCGTGGGATGCAGCCTGGAGCCCCAGAGACTGCCGCGTGGCGCACGGAGGAGGAAGCACCCCAGCCTTTGGTGCTGGCCGGGGACATGTATTCTTTCCAGAGGGAAGGAAGAAAATTGAAGCCGAGTTGCTACCTGGTGTCCCACAGAGCCTAGCACATGGCGGGGACTCAGTGGTCCTAAATTAGGAGGGGGTGGGGGAGCAGACAAGCATGTCCAAATAAAGAAACAAGATTGCTTTATTTTTCTGTATAAAAAAAACTCCAGTTGTAGAAATCACAGACACATATTAAGTTTATGTACAGATCCTGTACGCGTGGGCCCTGCCCTTGCAGCTACACTCTAGGCACGGGGTGGCACAGCCCCCCTGCGGGCACCGCTCTGGGCAGTGCTGCCCCCAGCTGGGACTGGATGCAGTGCCTGCTTACAGACCTCTCCATAGCAGCTCCAAAGACTTCCTGAAGCCTCGGGAGAGATGCCGGGTCAGCCCAAGCACGCTGCCTCTCTGCTCTCTGGCTCCCAAGCATGGAACCGTCTGGTGCTTTTCTGACGGTCAGTTCATCTGGCCATCCCGGCTCTCTCTGGAGGGGCATCTCTGCCAAGTTCAGTGTCCGCCTTAGTGGTCCAGCTCGGCCCCTACAGTGCTCTTCTTAAGAGGCCATGTCCGCACGGCTCGTTTCTTTGGCTTGAGGTCAGGAATGGTGGGGAAAGGACTGTCCCCACTTCTTTGTCTGTCCCTGGGGGTGGAGCCAGGGAAGGCACTGGCAGCTTTGATGAGCTCCTTTGGGTCAAACCCTTAATACCCATTTTGAGGCTGCTGAGTGGCAGCTTGTGCTTGTGGCGGGAATGGTTCCCAGGACAGGTGAGGGACACCTCTGTCCTGCCTCCTAGCCCCGTTCCGATCATCAGGTCAGACGTGGCACACCCCTCACGGGGCCTGCAGCAGCAGCAGCGGCAGAAGCAGCACAGCCCAGGCCAGTGGGAAGAGGCGGGGAGCGGCACTGTGACCGATGCTGTGGAGAACCTGTGCATCTGGATCATCTGCAAGGTGAGCGGCCAGTGCCCCCAAGGTGAGCGGCCCTACTGCGGCCCTGGCCCCCAGCTCCATGTGGTTCCCCCAGCCCCCGCCTGGCAAGGGAGCCGCCTTCTATACCTCCGTGAGCAGACCCCAGGCCCAGTCTGCTCCAGCTACCTACCTGCCAGAAGTCTCTTCTCCTGGGGGTTGATGTGGGCCTGAGGACTGTGAGCTGAAAGGAAGAGTGGTGGCTGATCAGGGCCTGTCCCGGGGAGGTGAGTGGGCGGGACTTCCCTGCCATCCCAGGTCACTAGCCCAGGCCCCCCGCACACAGCTGGAGGAAGGAGGCGCACAGGGCTCTGACACTCACTGGTTTTGCCATTGACGGTCACCTTCAGCCTCAAGCACTGGTCCTCCTGGAGGTGGATGGGTTTGGCTGCAAGACAGACCCGAGCAGAGCATTAAGGAAGGAAACGTCTTTGGGAGAAAACACAAGTGCAAATGCCCCCTCTTCCCGCTCATCTGTGAGTCTCACCTTCCTTGTTTGCCCCCTTTCTGCCTCCTGTTCAAGCTCCCACTCTTTGCAATGACTCTTGGCTTTGGAGGTGGCGCTAAAAAGCACACAGACCCTGTCTTCTTGCCACAGTCCGTCCTCCACTCGCCCCAGCCTGAAGTTGGCGGACGCCTTCACACGATGCTCCCCCTAGCCAGGCCCCACTGAGCAGATCTTCTAACTCCTGAAGCCACCAGGGCCTCTCCACTGGTCTTAGGACGGAGTCCAACTCCTCCGCACTTCCCAGGCCCCCGTGACGAGCCCAGTCCACTTCTCCCCACTGCAGGGCCCCTCCTGCCGCGGCCAGACCGAGCCGTATGGAGGTCCCTGAAGACGTCATGGTCCCTCTGCACGTGTCCCCTTGTGCCTGGCCAGAGCCTCTGCTTGTTCTAAGCTCTTGGGTTATCTGCCCCAGGAACACGTCCCTGAGCCTCCAGAGCCCAGCAGGACCCACATCACTTCCCCAAGGCTATGAATCCTCATAGCCCGCTGTTCTAATGGTCAGTGCCCCGTGTGTGTCACTTTCCAGCTTTCTGGAGGACAGGGACCCTACAGTGTTTCATCTCTGTGCCTGCTGTGCAGAGTGGAGCGCCTCATACACAGCAGCTCATGCCACGCTGTCACACGAACGCATGAAAACAGTTCGGGATGGGAAGGAGCCATGTGCGGCTCTGTACTGAGCACGTGCCTCCCACTGGCCTGGCCCCAGGAGGCTGGCACGCGAACCGAGGACTCACAGATGTAGTAGTAGCTGTGCCCCTCCTTGAACTCCTTGCCCAGGGTGAAGGGCGTGAAGCGCTGGAATTTCTCCGACAGCTTCTCTGGGCCATGCCTGGCGCTGGGCTGGTCGCACTGCCAGCGGACCTGGTCTTTGGACAGGGGCTGGCACAGCCGGTACTGCTCGAGCTCCACCAGGTACAGGGTGTACTGCTCCATGGCGGCCTCAGCCACCGTGTGGTCCTCGTAATGCGGGCAGATGATGTCCAGGTAGTCATTTAGCTGCACGTGGACCGTGTAGTCCTCACTCCGGAACCTGCGCGGGCGTGGCGAGAGAGAGCCGGCGGTCACTCGGGGGCCTGGCTGGGGCTGCGAGCTTCCAAATGTTCACTGGGCCCCACGAAGATTTTTCCAGAATCCCAGCTCTCCTTATTTATGGCTCTTGACCTCTTCGGGATCTTTACACCATCTTCAAACACGCCTGCCCCCCAGCACTACCTCTTGCTCACCCTCTAAATAGTGTCTGCTTTAGTGCCCTTTGGGTACCAAAGCACTTCGCATGGCCTCCACATCGTCGCCCACGGAAGGGCCCCTGGCGGTGTCCTGCTCTTCTCCGGGAAGCACTTCCCCAAAACTGTCCTCCCAGTGGCTCTTTAAAATGCTGTCAGCCCTCAGTATGAGACCCTTCCGGGCAATCGGGGCCAAGGAACCCCGGCTCTCTCGCAGCACCTGCGGCTTTGGGGTCCCCCACTCCTGGCCATTGCCCCCCCCACCCCCAGCCCCAGCCCCTGGGTGCATTCACAAGGGTCAACTGAACCGCCATCCCCAGCACGCCGGGCCCACAGCAAATCCCCTGCCTGCTCCTCGCTTTGGGCTCAGGCCTCCTTGTCCGCTTCTCCCAAAGCACCCCAGACCTCCCAGTCCCTTTACTTCCAGAGCCACGCTGCCCCTCCGAGGAAGAGCGCCTGGAGGCCTCGCTGGGAGGCCTTTTCTTCACCCGCCAGCCCTGGGGCAGCCAGCTCCCTCCCGCAGGCCCCTCGGGCTCCAGCCGGGCGGCCCCGACACCTGGCTCCAGCCGGGCGGGGCGGGATCCTGGCGGGCGAGGGGTCTCCCCCGCCCGCCCTCTGAGCGGGTCAGCGGCTCTGAACTCCCCGGCGCTGCCAGCGGGACTCAGCACTGTTGGCTGCCAACCGACGCGGCGGCCCGGCTAGGGGGAGGGCAGGAGTTCGGCGGGAGGCCTCTGGGGTGGGCACCCCTTGACCCGGCCGCGGGCCCCCCCCTTCCCCCACCGCGGCCGGGCCTGGGGGCCCCGTGCCAGCGCTCGCCCGGCTACCCCGGGCTCCTCCCCCACGGGGACGCGGCGAGGGGGGGGGTCGCGGTGGCGGAGGGGGAGGGGAGGAGGCGCGCGAGTGAGGGAGAGGCTTTTAAAATTCCTCTCTGGAGAGATAAACAGAGAAGCCATTTCAGAACAGGTATTTCAGCTCTGGGCCTGGCGTCTTTCCCCCATTCCCGTGACGGGCACTGACTCATTCCTCATCCACCCCTGCCACCCGCCCCAGCACTCATGAGAACCTGCGAGCATCTACCTTGCCCAGCGTGCATGCCCCCCCCCCCCCCCGACCCCGGGGCCACGACCTGCCCTGTGCCCGGTCCGACCCTGCAGGCCCAAGGAGCTGGCGGGTCTGAGTGGGCGGGGCACCGAGGAGCCCGAGGCGCGGCTCCCGGCAGCCCTGCCCTCCTGCCCCAGCTGCGCACCACCCACCACCCCACTCCCCCGCCCCGGCCTGGGGCCTGGGGCCTGGGGCCTGGAGATCCCGCTGATGCCCACTGCCCTGAGTCACCCTGGCCGGCCTCACCCCCAACCAGCTCCTGGCCCCCTCATCAGTGCTGCAAGCTGACCCGGCCTGGCCGCCTGTGCGCTGCACCCTGCCTGGCTTCTCTTCAGTCCTGCGGCTGGAGGGGTGTGTGTGTGTGTGTGTGTGTGTGTGTGTGTGTGCACGTGAGGCCAGATGGACAGGGCAGAAGCTGTGCTTGCTGGGGACACCCATGACTGCCCTCTTGGGAGTACAATCTGTTCCACTCAGTGCTCCTCTGACTCT